CCGCCGTAGTTACTTCTCATGGGCCCGGGAGGCCGGACACCCCGGCCCGCGGCTGCATCGCTGAGAATGCAAGTAGGAAGCCAAGGCCTCGGCCCCTTTGCAAGTAATGAGCCCACAGTTCAGACTTCCAGCCGCCTTCCCCTTCAGGCCCGGGTCCCCTTCTTCCCCAGGACTCAACCCAGGCCCCAGCCCCTTCCCCCGGCAGACATAAGAGGCCTGACCCTCATCTTCACCCTCCCCCTGAACCCAGGGGCCATGCCCCCCGGGCCTGTAAAAATCCAGATTGCAGGAAAACAGGCCCCCCGTCCCCCCAGAACTGACCTCCATCCAACCCCTGACCCCCCCCTAGAACCCCCAGACCTGACGCCAGAGGAGCGGATGGAGCTGGAAAACATCCGGCGGCGGAAGCAGGAGCTGCTGGTGGAGATCCAGCGCCTGCGCGAGGAGCTCAGCGAAGCCATGAGCGAGGTGGAGGGTCTGGAGGCCAATGAGGGCAGGTGAGGACTGGAGCCGGGAACTTGGGGGGTCGTGGGGCCAGGCCAGGGGCCAGGGCTGCCCGGACACTGACCCTCCACCCCCCTGCTCTCTGCCTCTGCAGTAAGACCTTGCAGCGGAACCGGAAGATGGCAATGGGCCGGAAGAAGTTCAACATGGACCCCAAGAAGGTGCTTGGGGCCCCGGGGCTGGGGTCAGCCTGGCGGACATGCTGACGGGGTGTGATGGTTTAAGGGCCTACTTTAGGGGGACAGACTTGGTCCCAATCCCTGGATTTCGCGGGGTCGACTGTCCATTTGTTCCCTGAACATGAGACCTTTGTGCTGAGTCCTCCGCCGGGCGGTCCTCTTTCCGTTCTTGTTCGTATTTCTGGACCCACTTCTGGTGTCACCTAGAGTCCCAGGAGGAGCTGGTGTCTGGTAGGAAACAGTGACATGTTCAACGGTGTCGTGACAGAGGCCCCGGGGCCGGGGGTCACTCAGGAGGGAGCCGGGGTGTCAGGGAGGACTCCTTCCAGGAGGGGATGCTCAGGGCAGGTTTGAGGGAAGAGCCAGTGTTCACCGGTGGAGGAAGGCATTTGTTCGTTCATGCAGTTGATGCCTGTTTCCTCCTGCCTGCCTTGGGCCTGCTCCTCCACTAGCCAGTCCTAAGGTGCAGGAGGGCATGCCGGGAAGTCGGGGAGACCCCTAGAGATGGTCGACTCTGCTTTTCCTGCAGGGAGCCCCTAGACATAGTCCCCACAGTCCAGAGCGAGAAGGAGCTATAATGGAGGTCCTCATGGCGCCGGGAGAGCCAGAGGAGGCCGGGGTCCCCCCCAGGGTTGGCCCTCACAGTTCTTGAGGGCCTGCTGCTCACTGAGTTTCTCGCATTGTTCCTCCTGCCCCGAGCAGTGTAGCTTGTTCAGTCCTCCAGCAAACAGCCGTTGAGCTCCTGTCCCTGCCAGACCCTGCTCTCGGGGCTGGACTGAACCAGGCAGAGCAGAGGGCACAGTGGGTGCCAAGGCTGTATGCTGCGAGGCGGGAGGGAGGCTGTTAAAGGCCTGTGAGAAGCCTGAGAAGGACACCTGGCCCTGCTCGGGTAGCTGGGTGGGTTTGGGTGCTGAGCTTTCTGGGCAGGAGGTGGTAGTGGCTGTCGGCGTATTAGCACTGAGACCCGGTCCCCACTCACTAGGGGATCCAGTTCTTGGTGGAGAACGAACTTCTGCAGAACACACCTGAGGAGATCGCCCGCTTCCTGTACAAGGGCGAGGGCCTGAACAAGACAGCGATCGGGGACTACCTGGGGGAGAGGTGAGGTCCCGCCCCGCTCCTCTGGGCCTCTCCCCCCAGCCCCTTGCATCCACCTCACTGCAAGCTGTTCTCCCGAGGAGAGACCCTGACAGACTAACCTTCCAGCTGGACTATGACAGGCTGCACTGACGCCGGGGCCTGGGGAGCCTGGGGCCATCTGGGGGACCTAGGGACTATCTGTGAGCATCTCGTCCGTCCGTCCGTGGGAATGTGTCACAGGACTGTGAGAACTGGGTAGACACTGAGGTGCATGGGAACCGTGTGGACAGCTTGGAAGTATGGGGATTAGCAGCAGGTATTTGTGGAGCCTGGAGACCTCGTGGAAATCGGGGCAGGAGGACCTCTGTGGACTCTGGGGAGGACGGGGACTGCCTAGAAGTCTAGGGCACGTGAGCCTGGACATCA